CTGGATCATCCAGATGGTCATTGGCAAACTTCAGACGGGCCTGGACATGCGCTGGCTTGAGCAGGGGGACCTTGCGTGTGCTGCAGAATTTTAATCCATGACGGCGTAGTGTGTTACTAATGGTTTTCTTTGAGACTGTGGTCCCAGCTCTGTTCAGGTCATTGACCAGGTCCTGCCGTGTAGTTCTGGGCTGATCCCTCACCTTCCTCATGATCATTGATGCCCCACGAGGTGAGATCTTGCATGGAGCCCCAGACCGAGGGTGATTGACTGTCATCTTGAACTTCTTCCATTTTCTAATAATTGCGCCAACAGTTGTTGCCTTCTCACCAAGCTGCTTGCCTATTGTCCTGTAGCCCATCCCAGCCTTGTGCAGGTCTACAATTTTATCCCTGATGTCCTTACACAGCTCTCTGGTCTTGGCCATTGTGGAGAGTTTGGAGTCTGTTTGATTGAGTGTGTGGACAGGTGTCTTTTATCCAGGTAACGAGTTCAAACAGGTGCAGTTAATACAGGTAATGAGTGGAGAACAGGAGGGCTTCTTAAAGAAAAACGAACAGGTCTGTGAGAGCCGGAATTCTTACTGGTTGGTAGGTGATCAAATACTTATGTCATGCAATAAAATGCAAATTAATTACTTAAAAATCATACAATGTGATTTTCTGGATTTTTGTTTTAGATTCCGTCTCTCAGTTGAAGTGTACCTATGATAAAAATTACAGACCTCTACATGCTTTGTAAGTAGGAAAACCTGCAAAATCGGCAGTGTATCAAATACTTGTTCTCCCCACTGTATATAGCATTCTGTTGGTGGCAAGAATTTGGTATAATAATTTTAATTGAAAAACTCAGTGTTGAATCAAGTGTTGTTTTTTGTACCAGTTCATAAACCATGTGCCATGGAATCGGTACATCGAATATCTCTTCCCGTTGATGTTGCAGCCTGTATGGGGCAGCTGGCAACATTTAGGCTGGGTTTCTGTACAGCACTTCGAGATATTAGCTGATGTAAGAAGGGCTATATAAAATAAAATTGATTGAAATTGATTGATTGATTATGTCCTCAAATTAAACTGGTATATTTTTCTATTTATGCTAATTCCTTTCAGCCAATTTGTATCTTTAATATATGGCAGGTAAACACGTTCCCTACCTTCTGCCTCCTCCATTTTTGTGGTAATGCTGCAATCAGTTGGTTATAAGTTTGGATTGAGCAGACATTCCCATATATTTTCGATAGCTGCATACAGTTGAAGTCGGAAGTTTACATACACCTTAGCCAAATACATTTAAACTCAGTTTTTCACAATTCCTGACATTTAATCCTAGTAAAAATTCCCTGTATTAGGTCAGTTAGGATCACCACTTTATTTTAAGAATGTGAAATGTCAGAATAATAGTAGAGAATGATTTATTTCAGCTTTTATTTCTTTCATCACATTCCCAGTGGGTCAGAAGTTTACATGCACTCAATTAGTATTTGGTAGCATTGCCTTTAAATTGTTTAACTTGGGTCAAACGTTTCGGGTAGCCTTCCACAAGCTTCCCACAATAAGTTGGGTGAATTCTGGCCCATTCCTCCTGACAGAGCTGGTGTAACTGAGTCAGGTTTGTAGGCCTCCTTGCTTGCACACGCTTTTTCAGTTCTGCCCACACATTTTCTATAGGATTGAGGTCAGGGCTTTGTGATGGCCACTCCAATACCTTGACTTTGTTGTCCTTAAGCCATTTTACAACTTTGGAAGTATGCTTAGGGTCATTGTCCATTTGGAAGACCCATTTGCGACCAAGCTTTAACTTCCTGACTGATGTCTTGAGATGTTGCTTCAATATATATATATATATATATATATATATATATATATATATATATATATATATATATATATATATATATATATATATATATATATATATATATATATATATATATATATATATATATATATATATATATATATATACACACATCATTCGTGCTTCACGGTTGGGATGGTGTTCTTCGGCTTGCAAGCGACCCCCTTTTTCCTCCAAACATAACGATGGTCATAATGGCCAAACTATAAATTATATTTTTGACCAGAGGACATTTCTCTAAAAAGTATGATCTTTGTCCCCATGTTCAGTTGCAAACCGTAGTCTGGCCTATTTATGGCGGTTTTGGAGCATTGGCTTCTTCCTTGCTGAGCGGCCTTTCAGGTTATGTCAATATAGGACTCGTTTTACTGTGGATATAGATACTTTTGTACATGTTTCCTCCAGCATCTTCACAAGGTCCTTTGCTGTTGTTCTGGGATTGATTTGCACTTTTCGCACCAAAGTACGTTCATCTCTAGGAGACAGAACGTGTCTCCTTCCTGAGCGGTATGAAGGCTGCGTGGTCCCATAGTGTTTATACTTGTGTACTATTGTTTGTACAGATGAACGTGGTACCTTCAGGTGTTTGGAAATTGCTCCCAAGGATGAACCAGACATGTGGAGGTATACAAAATTTTTTTCTGAGGTCTTGACTGATTTCTTTTGGTTTTCCCATGATGTCAAGCAAAGAGGCACTGAGTTTGAAGGTAGGCCTTGAAATACATCCACAGGTACACCTCCAATTGACTCAAATTATGTCAATTAGCCTATCAGAAGCTTCTAAAGCCATGACATCATTTTCTGGAATTTTCCAAGCTGTTTAAAGGCACAGTCAACTTAGTGTATGTAAACTTCTGACCCACTGGAATTGTGATACAGTGAATTATAAGTGAAATAATCTGTCTGTAAACAATTGTAGGAAAAATTACTTGTGTCATGCACAAAGTAGACGTCCTAACCAACTTGCCAAAACTATAGTTTGTTAACAAGACATTTGTGGAGTGGTTGAAAAACAAGTTTTAATGACTCCAACCTCCAAGTGTATGTAAACTTCCGACTTCAACTGTATGTGACAACTCCACCGTTAATAAATATAATACCATATTTTATTTTTAGCCATAAATAATACTTTTTTTATTAATCAGTATATTTGAGTTTAACCATTAATATTTGTTGTAATATTTCTTCTATCTTTTCTGGAGGATGAAACTGAAATTGTAACCAGCTTTGTATGGATTGGATAAGACAGGGCGATACTTTAAACAAAATTTCATTTTCAATTAGTCGGAAATGAGAAGTTGTAATCTGTATAAAGGCAAAAAGGCCATTTTTGAACAAATTATTCTCTCTTAATAATCTACAGGAGAACCATTCTGAGTTTAAGTATAACTTTATGAGTGAAGCTTTTAGTGAGAGGTTTAAGCTTTAATATTGAATAATTTTAGCCCCCCAAACTCATATTAATTATATAAATAGGCATGTTTAAATTTGTGTAAAACGAAATATTTTTTGCTCATATGATTTTAAAAACAAGTCGTCTGGAGTAGGCAGCGCCATTAGTGAGTAAACTGAGATAGGACCAAAGAGTTAATCAATGTGATTTTTCCATAAATAGACAGGTATTTACCTCTATGGTTACAGAATCTTAGATATTTTTTGCAAACTTTCAATTGAAATTGATTGTGTTAAGTTCATTTATATTTTTTGAGATATGAATACCAAGTATGTCTACTAAACACCTGCCCATTGTATTGGTAAGGTAGTGTAAACACTGTGTTTTAACGATCCAATACGTAATATCTTGTCATAATAAGGTTTCAGTCCAGAGGCTAGAAAAGTGATCTTCAATGAGACTTTGCAGGGATCCAGATTGCGAACTTAAGAAAACACTTGAGTCATCGGCATACATTGACACTTTTTAGTTTTTAACCCCTGGATTTCTAACCCCTTGATGTTCTTGTTGGATCTAATTTTAATGGCTAGCATTTCAATGGCCATAATAAATAGATATGGAGACAGCGGACAGCCTTGTTTCACTCCTCTTAAAAGCTCAATACTTTCTGAGAAGTAACCATTATTTACCATTTTACATCTGGGTTTTCTGTAACCCATTGTATAAGAGATTCACCGAAATGTAACTAACTAACCATAACCCTAGATCAGGGATCCTAACTAACCATAACCCTAGATCAGGGATCCTACCTAACCATAACCCTAGATCAGGGATCCTAACTAACCATAACCCTAGATCAGGGCTGTCAAACTGAATTCCTCGTAGGCCCAGTGTCTGCAAGTATTTGCTTCTCCCTTGTACTTGAATGAAGGTCATTAATTAGTTACAATCCCTCACCTGGTTGTCTAGGTCCTAACTGATTAGTTACATTCCCTCACCTGGTTGTCTAGGTCCTAACTGATTAGTTACATTCCCTCACCTGGTTGTCTAGGTCTTAATTGATCACTAATTGAAAGGACATAACAAAAGCAGCAACCACATGGCCCTCCAGGAATGAGTTTGACATCCCATGTGAAGAAGAGGAGATGGTTGAATCCAGCAGATCAAGAGAGATCCAGTGGATTGAGGCATTCTGTTTTATTTAAACTCTGAGAATCCTGACAGGATTAATTATCTATAGTTCTGTTTGTTTGGGTCCTGGTCATCATTAGTCTGTAAGATGACCTCTCTCCAGGAAGAGACCGTAAGCTTCTCTCTCTGTCTATCTCTCTGGGATGACACTGGGAGATGAGACAGCCTGTACACCCCCAGCCTGCAGACAGCCTGTTGGCACCATGTCCTGTCTCCTGCCTGTCCTGGGTTTCTTTCCTCTCTCAGTATTGCTCCAGTGAATGTAATGGACATCTTAGTACTGCTTCTTCCATATAGTTCCTCATCTAGAGTTGATCTATAGTATATAGTCTCTGATCAGGCCTCTCTCTGAGCCCACAGTCATCCAATGGCTATGTATCTAATCTGGGCTCAGTGGGCTCACCCTGCCTTGTCTTGTTTAATCCCTCTCCTCTCCTTCTCCTGGTTGAAGCCTAGTGGTGGGAGGTTAGGGGAGGTGATAGAATTGTCAAAGAGCTTTTCACTGAGCCCTGAGCCTGGCTTAATGCCTTCCTCTCTGGGCCACTGACTCACACACAGGAGGAGATGGAGGAGAGGGAGGGAGGAGAGGAGGAGTTGGAGAGGAGATTCAGGGAAAGGGGGAGGGATTTGGAGAAGAGATGGGGGAGGGAAGGGGGAGGGAGGGAAAGAAGGAGAGGGCGAGGGAGGGGAAAGGGGAGGAGGAGAGGAGATGGAGGAGAGGCGATGGAGGGAAGAAGGAGGTGGAGATGGAGGAGAGGGAGGGAGGGAGGAGGAGATGGAGGGAGTTGGAGAAGAGATGGAGGAGAGGCGATGGAGGGAAAGAAGGAGGTGGAGATGGAGGGGAGGGAGGGAGGAGGAGATGGAGGGAGTTGGACAGGAGATGGAGGGAAAGAGGGAGGGAGGGAGGTGGTGGTAGTAGTATTTATTGGAACTCTTCCTCGGGTCCAAACAGGAAACAAAACAACAAATAAAATGCATAATATAAATAATAATCACTAAGTGCACAAAACATTAAGAACACTTTCCTAATATCCCCTTTTACCCTCAGAACACTTTCCTAATATCCCCTTTTACCCTCAGAACACTTTCCTAATATCCCCTTTTACCCTCAGAACACTTTCCTAATATCTCCTTTTACCCTCAGAACAGCCTCAATTCGTCGGGCCGGACTCTACAAGGTGTCAAAAGCGTTCCACAGGGATGCTGGCCCATGTTGACTCCAATGCTTTCCACAGTTGTGTTAAGTTGGCTGGATGTCCTCTGGGTGGTGGACCATTCTTGATACACAAGGGAAACTGTTGAGTGTGAAAAACCCAGCAGCGTTGCAGTTCTTGACACACTCAAACCGGTGCACCTGGCACCTACTCCATATCCTGTTCAAAGGCACTTAAATCTTTTGTCTTGCCCATTCACCATCTGAATGGCACACACGCAATCCATGTTTCAATTGTCTCAAGGCTTAAAAATCCTTCTTTAACCTGTCTCCTCCCCTTCATCTACACTGATTGAAGTGGATTTAACAAGTGACATCAATAAGGGATCATAGCTTTCACCTGGTCAGTCTGTCATGGAAAGAGCAGGTGTTCCTAAACCTACCCAAACCAAAAACCTTGGAAAGATGGCAGCACTCCCAGACAAGCTAAACACCTTTGTCCGCTTTGAGGATAACACAGTGCCACCGACGCGGCCCGCTCCCAAGGACTGTGAGCTCTCGTTCTCCGTGGCCGACGTGAGTAAGACACTTCAACTCAATCACCAAGTTTGCAGATGACACAACAGTAGTAGGCCTGATTACCAACAATGACGAGACAGCCTACAGGGAGGAGGTGAGACAGCCTACAGGGAGGAGGTGAGACAGCCTACAGGGAGGAGGTGAGACAGCCTACAGGGAGGAGGTGAGACAGCCTACAGGGAGGAGGTGAGACAGCCTACAGGGAGGAGGTGAGACAGCCTACAGGGAGGAGGTGAGGTCCCTGGCGGAGTGGTACCAGGAAAAATAACCTTTGCCTCAACGTCACAAAACGAAGGAGCTGATCGTGGACTTCAGGAAACAGCAGAGGGTGCACCCCCCTATCCACATCGACGGGACCGCAGTGGAGAAGGTGGAAAGCTTCAAGTTCCTTGGCGTACACATCACTGACAATCTGAAATGTTCCACCCACGCAGACAGTGTGGTGAAGAAAGCGCAACAGCGCCTCTTCAAGCTCAGGAGGCTGAATAAATTTGGCTTGGCCCCTAAGACCCTCACAAACTTTTACAGATGCACCATTGAGAGCATCCTGTCGGGCTGTATCACCGCCTGGTATGGCAACTGCACTGCCCGCAACGTCAGGGCTCTCCAGAGGGTGGTGTGGTCTGCCCAACGCATCACCATGGGCACACTGCCTGCCCTCCAGGACACCTACAGCACCCGATCATGAAGGACATCAACCACCCGAGCCACGGCTTGTTCACCCCGCTATCATCCAGAAAGCGAGGTCAGTACAGGTGCATCAAAGCTGGGACAGAGAGACTGAAAAACAGCTTCTATCTCAAGGCCATCAGACTGTTAAATAGCAATCACTAGACGGCTACCACCCGGTTACTGGGCAGTAGTCCAGGTGCGACAACTAGGGCCTGTAGGTTGTCTAGTTTATTGAGATGTCAAGAAAGCAGAGCAACACCTTATCATGGACAGACCTCTTCCCATTTTAGCAACCATTGAGTCTATATGTTTTGACCATGCCAGCTTGCTATCTAGGGTTACACCCAGCAGTTTAGTCTCTTCAACTTGCTCAATAGCCACATTATTAAATAATAGATTTAAATGAGGTTTAGCGTTGAGCGAGTGATTTGTCCCCAAAATTATGCTTTTAGTTTGAGATATTTAGCACCAGCCTATTGCTAGTTACCCATTCTAAAACTGCCTGGAGCGCTATGTTAAGGGTGTCAGTTATTTATTTTACTGTTGCAGCTGACGTGTATCCTGTTGAGTCATCAGCGTACAGACACACAGGCTTTATTCAAGGTCAGTGGAAGGTCATTAGTTAAAACAGAAAACAATAACGTCCCAAGCAAGCTGTCCTGCGGTACAACACACTCAAACGAACTTCCATTAAAGAAAACCCTCTGTGTTCTATTAGATGGGTAACTGTCCATTCATGATAAGGCAGAGGTTATGATCAATGATATCGAAAGCTGCACTGAAGTCTTAACAAAACAGCTTCCACGATCTTCTTACTATGAATTTCTTTCAGCCAATCATCAGTCATTTGTGTCAGTGCCGAGCATGTTGAGTGCACTTCTCTATAAGCATGCTGAAAGTCTGTTGTTGATTTGTTTTCTGTAAAATAACTTTGTAATTGGTCAAACACAATTTTTTCCAAAAGTTCCTACTTTGCTGAACTCAAAACTACAGTGATTGTCTTTCATTATTTGGAACGTTATGCGTGAATATGAAGGCTCAATGTTTATTCTTTGCATGTCATACCTAAATTTGCTAATCTAGTCAACAACAATGTTATTAAAGTGGTTGGCAATATCAAAGGGTTTTGTTATGAACAAGCCATCTGCCTCAATGAAGGATGGAGCCCAGTTTGCTTTCTTGCCTAGAATTTCATTTAAATTACTCCAGAGCTTTTTACTATCATTCTTTTATATAATTTATATTTGTTCCATAATATAGTTTCTTCTTTTTGTTTAGTTCCCTGATTTCTCAGTTTTCTGTATGGTTGCCAGTCTGTAGTGTTGTCAGACCTATCTGCTATTCCCTTTGCCTCGTCCCTCTGTCATACAGTATTTCAGTTCATCTATCCATGGGGATTTGGCAGTTCTAACAGTCAGTTTCTTGATGGGTGCATGCCTTTCAGTAACCGGAAGAAGCAGTTTCATAAATGCTTCAAGTGCAGCGTCAGGATGTTCCTCATTACACACATCAGACCAACAAATATTTGTCACATCTTCGACATCGGAATCATTGCAAAACCTCTTGTATGATCGCTTATACACTATTTTAGGTACCAGTCTTTGGAAATTAGTTTTTTCTAGATATGGCTACTATATTATGATCACTACATTCAATGGATTTGGATACTGCTTTAAAGAAAATGTCTGCCATAGTAAAGATGTGCTCAATACACGTGGATTATTTAGTTCCTGTTCTGTTTGTAATACTCTGGTAAGAGGGACAGAGATGGAGGGAGGTGGAGAGAAGAGGAGGTGTTGACTGATATTGTCCTGATGTACTGGACTGTACTCTAGCTGTTCTGTTGACTGATATTGTCCTGATGTACTGGACTGTACTCCAGCTGTTCTGTTGACTGATATTGTCCTGATGTACTGGACTGTACTCTGGCTGTTCTGTTGACTGATATTGTCCTGATGTACTGGACTGTACTCTGGCTGTTCTGTTGACTGATATTGTCCTGATGTACTGGACTGTACTCTGGCTGTTCTGTTGACTGATATTGTCCTGATGTACTGGACTGTACTCTGGCTGTTCTGTTGACTAATATTGTCCTGATGTACTGGACTGATATTGTCCTGATGTACTGGACTGTACTCTGGCTGTTCTGTTGACTGATATTGTCCTGATGTACTGGACTGTACTCCAGCTGTTCTGTTGACTGATATTGTCCTGATGTACTGGACTGTACTCTGGCTGTTCTGTTGACTGATATTGTCCTGATGTACTGGACTGTACTCTGGCTGTTTCTGTTGACTGATATTGTCCTGATGTACTGGACTGTACTCTGGCTGTTCTGTTGACTGATATTGTCCTGATGTACTGGACTGTACTCTGGCTGTTCTGTTGACTGATAGTGTCCTGATGTACTGGACTGTACTCTGGCTGTTCTGTTGACTAAAAGTGTCCTGATGTACTGGACTGTACTCTGGCTGTTCTGTTGACTGATATTGTCCTGATGTACTGGACTGATATTGTCCTGATGTACTGGACTGTACTCTGGCTGTTCTGTTGACTGATATTGTCCTGATGTACTGGACTGATATTGTCCTGATGTACTGGACTGTACTCTGGCTGTTCTGTTGACTGATATTGTCCTGATGTACTGGACTGTACTCTGGCTGTTCTGTTGACTGATATTGTCCTGATGTACTGGACTGTACTCTGGCTGTTCTGTTGACTGATATTGTCCTGATGTACTGGACTGTACTCTGGCTGTTCTGTTGACTGATATTGTCCTGATGTACTGGACTGATATTGTCCTGATGTACTGGACTGTACTCTGGCTGTTCTGTTGACTGATATTGTCCTGATGTACTGGACTGTACTCCAGCTGTTCTGTTGACTGATATTGTCCTGATGTACTGGACTGTACTCTGGCTGTTCTGTTGACTGATATTGTCCTGATGTACTGGACTGTACTCTGGCTGTTCTGTTGACTGATATTGTCCTGATGTACTGGACTGTACTCTGGCTGTTCTGTTGACTGATATTGTCCTGATGTACTGGACTGATATTGTCCTGATGTACTGGACTGTACTCTGGCTGTTCTGTTGACTGATATTGTCCTGATGTACTGGACTGTACTCCAGCTGTTCTGTTGACTGATATTGTCCTGATGTACTGGACTGTACTCTGGCTGTTCTGTTGACTGATATTGTCCTGATGTACTGGACTGTACTCCAGCTGTTCTGTTGACTGATATTGTCCTGATGTACTGGACTGTACTCTGGCTGTTCTGTTGACTGATATTGCCCTGATGTACTGGACTGTACTCTGGCTGTTCTGTTGACTGATATTGTCCTGATGTACTGGACTGTACTCTGGCTGTTCTGTTGACTGATATTGTCCTGATGTACTGGACTGTACTCTGGCTGTTCTGTTGACTGATATTGTCCTGATGTACTGGACTGTACTCTGGCTGTTCTGTTGACTGATATTGTCCTGATGTACTGGACTGTACTCTGGCTGTTCTGTTGACTGATATTGTCCTGATGTACTGGACTGATATTGTCCTGATGTACTGGACTGTACTCTGGCTGTTCTGTTGACTGATATTGTCCTGATGTACTGGACTGTACTCCAGCTGTTCTGTTGACTGATATTGTCCTGATGTACTGGACTGTACTCTGGCTGTTCTGTTGACTGATATTGTCCTGATGTACTGGACTGTACTCCAGCTGTTCTGTTGACTGATATTGTCCTGATGTACTGGACTGTACTCTGGCTGTTCTGTTGACTGATATTGTCCTAAAATAAACAAAGTTATGCAACACCCAATGTCCTTGTGTGAAAAAGTAATTGCCCCCTTAAACTCAATAACTGGTTGTGCCACCTTTAGCTGCAATGACTCCAACCAAACGCTTCCTGTAGTTGTTGATCAGTCTTTCACGTTGCTGTGGAGTAATTTTGGCCCACTCTTCCAGGCAGAACTGCTTTAAGTCAGCGACATTTGTGGGTTTTCAAGCATGAACTGCTCGTTTCAAGTCCTGCCACAACATCTCAATTGGGATTAGGTCAGGACTTTGACTAGGCCATTCCAAAACTCCAAATTTTTTGCTTTTAACCATTTTCATGTACATTTTTACATTTTAGTCATTTAGCAGACACTCTTATCCAGAGCGACTTAGAGTTAGTAGTCCATACATTTATTTTTTTTCGAGCCCACAACCCTGGCGTTGCAAACGCCATGCTCTACCAACTGAGCTACATCCCTGCCGGCCATTCCCTCCCCTACCCTGGACGACGCTGGGCCAATTGTGCGCCGTCCCATGGGTCTCCCGGTCACGGCCGGCTACGACAGAGCCTGGATTCGAATCAGGATCTCTAGTGGCACTGCGCCACTCGGGAGACTATGATTGTGTGTAGACTTGATTGTGTGTTTTGGATCATTGTCTTGCTGCATGACCCAGCTGCGCTTCAGCTTCAGCTCACAGACGGATGGTCTGACATTCTCCTGTATAATTCTCTGATACAGAGCAGAATTCATGGTTCCTTCTATTAAGGCAAGTCGTCCAGGTCCTGAGGCAGCAAAGCATCCCCAAACCATCACACCACCACCACCATGCTTGACCGTTGGTATGAGGTTCTTACTGTGGAATGCGTGTTTGGTTTTCGCCAGACATAATGGGAACCATGTCGTCCAAAAATGTATACTTTGACTAATCTGTCCATAGAACATTCTACCAAGAGTCTTGATGATCATCCAGGTGCTTTTTGGCTAACTTGAGTGAACTTTTTGGAGAAAGATCCCGGTTACCGGTGTAAATCCCTAGGGCTGTAGCGCTGCCACATTCCACTGCAGATGCGGCAGACTGCTACAGGGGGATTGAGACGCAGCCCAGGCAAAAAAACATATCTCTAGCTTAAACTGATGGATTTTGATGGGGAGTTTTGTTACTATGTTAAATAGATTGAGGCATGGGTCAAATGCCAGGAGAACGCTACCTTCCCGAATGCATAGTGCCAACTGTAAAGTTTGATGGAGGAGGAATAATGGTCTGGGGCTGTTTTTCATGGTTCGGGCTAGGCCCCTTAGTTCCAGTGAAGGGAAATCTTAACGCTACAGCATACAATGACATTCTAGATGATTCTGTGCTTCCAACTTTGTGGCAACAGTTTGGGGAAGGCCCTTTCCTGTTTCAGCATGACAATGCCCCCGTGCACAAAGCGAGGTCCATACAGAAATGGTTTGTCAAGATCGGTGTGGAAGAACTTGACTGGCCTGCACAGAGCCCTGACCTCAACCCCATCAAACACCTTTGGGATGAATTGGAACGCTGACTGCGAGCCAGGTCTAATCGCCCAACATCAGTGCCCGACCTCACTAATGCTCGTGTCTGAATGGAAGCAAGTCCCCGCAGCAATGTTCCAACATCTAGTGGAAAGCCTTCCCAGAAGAGTGGAGGCTGTTATAGCAGCAAAGGGGGGACCAACTCCATATTAATGCCCATGATTTTGGAATGAGATGTTTGACCATGTAGTGTACATAAACTCTTTTTTAATATCATAATTTATATAAATAGTGCCCTTTAATTCGTACATACATAAACTGTGTTTTTAACTTCTATAAATACTGCCCTCTGCTTGGTTCGTACATGCCACCAGAGGTCTCTTCACAGTCCCCAAGTCCAGAACAGACTATGGGAGGCGCACAGTACTACATAGAGCCATGACTACATGGAACTCTATTCCACATCAGGTAACTGATGCAAGCAGTAGAATCAGATTTAAAAAACAGATAAAAATACACCTTATGGAACAGTGGGGACTGTGAAGAGACACACACACATGCATACAAACACATGATACCATACGCACTATACACACACGTACACATGGATTCTGTGTTGTAGATATGTGGTAGTAGAGTAGAGGCCTGAGGGCACACACTTAGTGTGTTGTGAAATCTGTAATGAATGTATTGTAATGTTTTTAAAATTGTATAAACTGCCTTAATTTGCCAGACCCCAGGAAGAGTCAGCAGCTAATGGGGATCCATAATAAATACAAACATAAACTGTGTTTTTAACAAAATAATATATATTTTCCTCCCCAGTTCCTAAGGACTTGTGCCGATGTCTTTAGACTCCTCCCCTTCCTGGTGTTCATCATTGTGCCGTTCATGGAGTTCCTGCTTCCTGTGGCGCTGAAGCTCTTCCCCAACATGCTGCCCTCAACCTTCGAGACGCAGTCCAAGAAGGTAGGACCACCTCCTTAACCCTAATCTTAAAGGAATGGTCTGGATTTTTTTTTTACCCCAATGGTTGTTCAGATTCACGATAGGAACATGTAGGAAACAGCTTCCATAGTTAAACAGCTATGGACTGTAGTTTTCTGGATTTCCCTCAGTGAGACTGTAGTTCTGTGGGCGTTCCTCGTTAAACAGCCATGAGACTGTAGTTCTGTGGGCGTTCCTAGTTAAACAGCCATGAGACTGTAGTTCTGTGGGCGTTCCTAGTAAACAGCCATGAGACTGTAGTTCTGTGGGCGTTCCTAGTTAAACAGCCATGAGACTGTAGTTCTGTGGGCGTTCCTCGTTAAACAGCCATGAGACTGTAGTTCTGTGGGCGTTCCTAGTTAAACAGCCATGAGACTGTAGTTCTGTGGGCGTTCCTAGTTAAACAGCCATGAGACTGTAGTTCTGTGGGCGTTCCTAGTTAAACAGCCATGAGACTGTAGTTCTGTGGGCGTTTCTAGTTAAACAGCCATGAGACTGTAGTTCTGTGGGCGTTCCTAGTTAAACAGCCATGAGACTGTAGTTCTGTGGGCGTTCCTAGTTAAACAGCCATGAGACTGTAGTTCTGTGGGCGTTTCTAGTTAAACAGCCATGAGACTGTAGTTCTGTGGGCGTTCTAGTTAAACAGCCATGAGACTGTAGTTCTGTGGGCGTTCCTAGTTAAACAGCCATGAGACTGTAGTTCTGTGGGCGTTCCTAGTTAAACAGCCATGAGACTGTAGTTCTGTGGGCGTTTCTAGTTAAACAGCCATGAGACTGTAGTTCTGTGGGCGTTTCTAGTTAAACAGCCATGAGACTGTAGTTCTGTGGGCGTTCCTAGTTAAACAGCCATGAGACTGTAGTTCTGTGGGCGTTCCTAGTTAAACAGCCATGAGCGTGTAGTTCTGTGGACGTTCCTAGTTAAACAGCCATGAGACTGTAGTTCTGTGGGCGTTCCTAGTTAAACAGCCATGAGACTGTAGTTCTGTGGGCGTTCCTAGTTAAACAGCCATGAGACTGTAGTTATGTGGGCGTTCCTAGTTAAACAGCCATGAGACTGTAGTTCTGTGGGCGTTCCTAGTTAAACAGCCATGAGACTGTAGTTCTGTGGGCGTTCCTAGTTAAACAGCCAGAGACTGTAGTTCTGTGGGCGTTCCTAGTTAAACAGCCATGAGACTGTAGTTCTGTGGGCGTTCCTAGTTAAACAGCCATGAGACTGTAGTTCTGTGGGCGTTCCTAGTTAAACAGCCATGAGACTGTAGTTCTGTGGGCGTTCCTAGTTAAACAGCCATGAGACTGTAGTTCTGTGGGCGTTCCTAGTTAAACAGCCATGAGACTGTAGTTCTGTGGGCGTTCCTAGTTAAACAGCCATGAGACTGTAGTTCTGTGGGCGTTCCTAGTTAAACAGCCATGAGACTGTAGTTCTGTGGGCGTTCCTAGTTAAACAGCCATGAGACTGTAGTTCTGTGGGCGTTCCTAGTTAAACAGCCATGAGACTGTAGTTCTGTGGGCGTTCCTAGTTAAACAGCCATGAGACTGTAGTTCTATACCAGTCGGAGAGCTTCTCTCCTTTCTACTGTCAGAGAATCTGTTGTGTGTAGAACGGCTGCTGCAAGCGATGACCCCCCTGACCCCATGACCCCCCTGACCCCATGACCCCCCCTGACCCCATGACCCCCCTGCAGAGTTGGACGATTATAACTTTTAACAAGTGTTGAATGATCAGAATCACCTTTATTCGCCAAGTACATTTACGGAACACTGACATGCAGTGCTTACAGAAAGGATTCACACCCCTTGACTTTTTTCACCTTTTGTTACAGCCTGAATTCAAAATGGATTAAATTGAGATTTTCTGTCTCTGGCCTACACATAATACCCCATAATGCCAAAGTGGAATTATGTTTTTAGAAATGTTTACAAATTAATTACAAATGAAAAGCTGAAATGTCTTGCGTCAAGTATTCAACCCCTTTGTTATGGCAAGCCTAAATAAGTTCAGGAGGTAAAAATGTGCTTAACAAGTCACGTAATAAGTTGCATGGACTCTGTGTGCAATAATAGTGTTTAACATGATTTTGAAATGACTACCTCATCTCTGTACCCCACACAAACAATTATCTGTAAGGTCCCTCATTCGAGCAGTGGATTTCAAACACTAATTCAACCAAAAAGACCAGGGAGGTTTTCCAATGCCTCGCAAAGAAGGGCACCTATTGGTAGATATGTAAAAATTTTTAAAAGCAGACATTGAATATCCCTTTGAGCATGGTTAAGTTATTAATTACACTTTGAATAGTGTGTCAATACACCCAGTCACTACAAAGATACAGGCGTCTTTCCTAACTCAGTTGTCAGAGAGGAAGGAAACCATTTCACCATGTGGCCAATAGTGATTTTAAAACAGTTACAGAGTTGAATGGCTGTGATAGGAGAAAACTGAGGATGGATCAACAACATTGTAGTTACTCCACAATACTAACCTAATTGACAGAGTGAAAGAAGGAAGCCTGTACATAATTTAAATATTCCAAAACGTATCCTTTTTGCAATAAGGCACTAAAGTAAAACTGCAAAAATGTGGCAAAGAAATTAACTTTATGTACGGAGTACAAAGCTTTATGTTTGGGGCAAATCCAGCACATCACTGAGTACCACTCTTCATATTTTCATTTTTCTACTTGTGTGTATGTACTGACATGTATGTTTAACTGATAGATGCACACACATACTACATGTTCATGTTTTTAAATGTAAATTGTAAAGTATTTTGTCTGTAATGTATTTTTTTGTTATGTGTCAGACCCCAGTAAGACTAGCGGTCTCCATTGGCGTCGGCTAACGAGGATCCTAATAAATCACATCAAGCCTGGTGGCGGCTGCACCATGTCATTGTCGTAGTGGGTGCATAATTATTACTAACTGGATGAAGTAATTTCCTAAATGTGTCCGGTGCAGCGTCTGGTTGCTCCTCATTGCTCACCACAGACCAACAAATTGCTTGAATGGCCCCAACAACACAAGCAGGAGGCGTGGCCTAGCTTCTCCCCAAGTAGAACAAACTCAAAACGAAATCTGTAAGCCACCTCGAGGGTATGTGAGAAAAACGAAAACGTTATTAGACATTCATGGGCAATCATTACTGTGTACCTACTGTAGCAGCATGAATATCTCACAAACCTACGCTAGCTAGCTCCAACACACATAATAATGAGCTGCACTGAGGCTAGCTAGCTAGCTCCAACACACATAATAATGAGCTGCACTGAGGCTAGCTAGCTAGCTCCAACACACATAATAATGAGCTGCACTGAGGCTAGCTAGCTAGCTCCAACACACATAATAATGAGCTGCACTGAGGCTAGCTAGCTAGCTCCAACACACATAATAATGAGCTGCACTGAGGCTAGCTAGCTAGCTCCAACACACATAATAATGAGATGCACTGAGGCCAGCTAGCTAGCTCCAACACACAGGTATCATTAACCTGAAATGAGTTATCAAGCCATTTCTTTACTCTCTGCCATAATCATTAAAACATTCATCCAATTTTGCTCATAATGAGATGCACTGATGCTAGCTAGCTATAACATTAGGCTACAGTACATTTTGGGTATAGCAAACATAGCTAGCTAGCTTGGCTTGTAGTGGTACTAGCAAGCCCCATTATGGCCGAATCGATCACAAAATTATATACTGTACTGAACAACACTGCTTCGTGTGAAAAGAGAGCTTAGCTATGTTGCTACCGACAGCAAAAATAACTTCCTCGTTTGTCATTTGCCCTCCTGGTCCAGCGGGTCTAGGCCGCTGCCGCAAGTTGATCTTGGATGTTCTGAAGAACCTTCCAGAATCCATATATGTGTTGAAACTTCGATGGTCTGTTACACACACGTTCCATGGGGTCTGCAGTGACCCTCTCTAATTCGTTGCAGCACAGACATTCTTCTGTCAGCATGGCTGGACAGCTCCCACATAGTCTGACCGTTAGTCTGTCCCCATCGCTGCTTGCTCTGGTCTCGCAATTCTTGATCTCGCTGTCTCAACTCCTCTTCAGTGTATTCCGGCTCAAATGAATAGGGCGTATGTTCCTATGTTAGTATGTAAAAGACCATCACAACCTGTTACGTCGTCCAGCTCTTTTTGGAAAGAGGAATCACCAGAAGCAGCCATTGTAATTATTTCGCTAGCCATCTCAGATAGACAGTGCAGCCCTGCTGATTTTGTACGTTTGCCCACTGACAAAGAAATGATCAGTCTATAATTTTAATGGTAGGTTTATTTGAACAGTGAGAGACAGAATAACAACAAAAAAAACAGAAAAACGCATGTCAAAAATGTTATAAATTGATTTGCATTTTAATGAGGGAAATTAGTATTTGATCCCCTATCAATCAGAAAGATTCCTGGCTCCCAGGTGTCTTTTATACAGGTAACGAGCTGAGATTAGGAGCACACTCTTAAAGGGAGTGCTCCTAATCTCAGCTTGTTACCTGTATAAAAGACACCTGTCCACAGAAGCAATCAATCAATCAGATTCCAAACTCTCCACCATGGCCAAGACCAAAGAGCTCTCCAAGGATGTCAGGGACAAGATTGTAGACCTACACAAGGCTGGAATGGGCTACAAGACCATCGCCAAGCAGCTTGGTGAGAAGGTGACAACAGTTAATGCGATTATTCGCAAATGGAAGAAACCCAAAAGAACTGTCAATCTCCCTCGGCCTGGGGCTCCATGCAAGATCTCACCTCGTGGAGTTGCAATGATCATGAGAACGGTGAGGAATCAGCCCAGAACTACACGGGAGGATCTTGTCAATGATCTCAAGGCAGCTAGGACCATAGTCACCAAGAAAACACACTACGCCGTGAAGGACTGAAATCCTGCAACGCCCGCAAGGTCCCCCTGCTCAAGAAAGCACATATACAGGGCCGTCAGAAGTTTGCCAATGAACATCTGAATGATTCAGAGGAGAACTGGATGAAAGTGTTGTGGTCAGATGAGACCAAAATCGAGCTCTTTGGCATCAACTCAACTCACTGTGTTTGGAGGAGGAGGAATGCTGCCTATGACCCCAAGAACACCATCCCCTCCGTCAAACATGGAGGTGGTAACATTATGCTTTGGGGGTGTTTTTCTGCTAAGGGGACAGGACAACTTCACCGCATCAAAGGGACGATGGACGGGGCCATGTACCGTCAAATCTTGGGTGAGAACCTCCTTCCCTCAGCCAGGGCATTGAACATGGGTCGTGGATGGGTATTCCAGCATGACAATGACCCAAAACACACGGCCAAGGCAACAAAGGCGTGGCTCAAGAAGAAGCACATTAAGTTCCTGGAGTGGCCTAGCCAGTCTCCAGACCTTAATCCCATAGACAATCTGTGGAGGGAGCTGAAGGTTCGAGTTGCCAAACGTCAGCCTCGATACCTTAATGACTTGGAGAAGATCTGCAAAGAGGAGTGGAACAAAATCCCTCCTGAGATGTATGCAAACCTGGTGGCCAACTACAAGAAACGTCTGACCTCTGTGATTGCCAACAAGGGTTTTGCCACCAAGTACTAAGTCATGTTTTGCAGAGGGGTCAAATACTTATTTCCCTCATTAAAATGCAAATCAATTGATAACATTTTTGACATGCATTTTTCTGGATTTTTTTGTTGTTATTCTGTCTCTCACTGTTCAAAGAAACCTACCATTAAAATTATAGACTGATCATGTCTTTGTCAGTGGGCAATCGTACAAAATCAGCAGGGGATCAAACCCTTTTTTCCCTCACTGTATTATCACCCCTGTTTTGAGACGGAAGTAGGGCTCCCGTCAGGCTGTAGTCTTTACAGGGGAAAATATATCCTGCAATGTCCTGGCAGATGGGAACAACGTCCTGTATTGAACAAGGATAACCATATCTACTCGCTTGCTAGAGTGATCGTGCAATCGGCCAAACACAAAGGCCACAATAATTGCTACGAATAATTGCAGCATCTCAATCAAACACATTTTTTATTTAACCTTTATTTAACTAGGCAAGTCAGTTAAGAACAAATTCTTATTTACAATGACGGCCTACACCGGCCAAACCCGGAGGACGCTGGGCCAATTGTGCCCCGCCCTATGAGACTCCCAATCACAGCCGGTTGTGATACAGCCTGGAATCGAACCAGGGGGTCTGTAGTGACGCCTCAAGCACTGAGATGCAGTGCCTTAGACCACTGCGCCACTCGGGAGCCCTATGACGTCATTGGTTGAAATCTCCTGCCGCAAAAATTCTAAAATACCGCTATGGTGCATAATTATGTCTGAAACACATCTCATCACTCATAATGATGTAGGGAGACTGGAAAAACACTCAAAATAGTTTATAGCGGAGAAGTTTCCCTGTAATCCCATCCCACCTATAATCCCAGCCACAGCCTTCCTTAGACCCCTCACTTCCCCTATAATCCCAGCCACAGCCTTCCTTAGACCCCTCACTTCCCCTATAATCCCAGCCACAGCCTTCCTTAGACCCCTCACTTCCCCTATAATCCCAGCCACAGCCTTCCTTAGACCCCTCACTTCCCTATAATCCCAGCCACAGCCTTCCTTAGACCCCTCACTTCCCCTATAATCCCAGCCACAGCCTTCCTTAGACCCCTACTTCCCCTATAATCCCAGCCACAGCCTTCCTTAGACCCCTTACTTCCCCTATAATCCCAGCCACAGCCTTCCTTAGACCCCTTACTTCCCCTATAATCCCAGCCACAGCCTTCCTTAGACCCCTCACTTCCCCTATAATCCCAGCCACAGCCTTCCTTAGACCCCTTACTTCCCCTATAATCCCAGCCACAGCCTTCCTTAGACCCCTCACTTCCCCTATAATCCCAGCCACAGCCTTCCTTAGACCCCTCACTTCCCCTATAATCCCAGCCACAGCCTTCCTTAGACCCCTCACTTCCCCTATAATCCCAGCCACAGCCTTCCTTAGACCCCTCACTTCCCCTATAATCCCAGCCACAGCCTTCCTTAGACCCCTCACTTCCCCTATAATCCCAGCCACAGCCTTCCTTAGACCCCTCACTTCCCCTATAATCCCAGCCACAGCCTTCCTTAGACCCCTCACTTCCCCTATAATCCCAGCCACAGCCTTCCTTAGACCCCTCACTTCCCCTATAATCCCAGCCACAGCCTTCCTTAGACCCCTCACTTCCCCTATAATCCCAGCCACAGCCTTCCTTAGACCCCTTACTTCCCCTATAATCCCAGCCACAGCCTTCCTTAGACCCCTCACTTCCCCTATAATCCCAGCCACAGCCTTCCTTAGACCCCTCACTTCCCCTATAATCCCAGCCACAGCCTTCCTTAGACCCCTCACTTCCCCTATAATCCCAGCCGCACCTCTGATCTCCCCTTTAATCTAGCCCTGCCCCTGACCTTAGCCCTACCTAATCTAGTGTGTGTGTGTGTGTGTGTGTGTGTCCCAGGAGGAGAGGCTGAAGACGGAGCTGCGTGTGAAGCTGGAGATGGCTAAATTCCTCCAGGACACTGTGGAGGAGATTGCTCTGAGGAACAAGGCTGCCAAGGGAAACGTCACTGAGGAGTTCTCTACCTTCTTCCAGAAGGTACCATCCATCCTTCCATCTATCGCTACAGTCAAAACTCCTGTGTTCCTCTGTCTCTGCCCTTGTCCCCCTGTCTCTGTCCCCGTGTCTCTGACCCCTGTGTCTCTGTCCCTGTCTCCATAAAATCTCTGTTCCTCTGGGTCTCTGTTCCCCTGGGTCTCTGTTCCCCTGGGTCTCTGTTCCCCTGGGTCTCTGTTCCCCTGGGTCTCTGTTCCCCTGGGTCTCTGTTCCCCTGGGTCTCTGTTCCCCTGGGTCTCTGTTCCCCTGGGTCTCTGTTCCCCTGGGTCTCTGTGTCTCTGTCCCCCTGGGTCTCTGTCCCCCTGGGTCTCTGTCCCCCTGGGTCTCTGTTCCCCTGGGTCTCTGTTCCCCTGGGTCTCTGTTCCCCTGTCCCCCTGGGTCTCTGTCCCCCTGTCCCCCTATGTCTCTGCCCTGTTCTCTGTCCCCTGGGTCTCTGTCCCCCTATGTCTCTGCCCGTGTCTCTGTCCCTCTGTATCTGTCTCTCTGTCCCCCTGGGTCTCTGTCCCCCTGGGTCTCTGTCCCCTGGGTCTTGCCCTGTTGCCCGTGTCTCTGTCCCCCGTATCTGTATCTGTCCCCGGTTCTGTCCCCCTGGGTCTCTGGCCCCCTGGGTCTCTGTCCCTGTCCCATGTGTCTGTTCCTGTCCCCTGTCTCTTTCCCTGTCCCCCTGTGTCTGTCCCCCTGTGTCTGTCCCCCTGTCTCTGGCCCCCTGTCTCTGGCCCTGTCCCTGTCTCTGCCCCCTATGTCTCTGCCCCCCCTGGGTCTCTTTCCCTGTCCCCCGTGTCTCTTTCCCTGTCCCCCTATTTCTCCCTAACCATCTCTGCCTCGTCCCCCTGTGTCTCTGTCTCTCCCCCTGTAGATCCGTGATTCTGGGGAGCGTCCCAGTAATGAGCAGATAATCAGGTTCTCTAAGCTGTTTGAGGATGAGTTGACTCTGGACAACCTGACTCGTCCTCAGCTGGTTGCTCTGTGTCGTCTGTTAGAGCTGCAGTCTATAGGAACCAACAACTTCCTTCGCTTCCAACTCATCATGAAGCTACGAGCCATCCGTGCTGACGACAAGGTCTGTAACCCCTGACCTCTAACCCCTGACCTCTACCCCTGACCTCTACCCCCTGACCTCTACCCCCTGACCTCTACCCCCTGACCTCTACCCCTGACCTCTACCCCTGACCTCTACCCCTGACTCTAACCCCTGACCTCTACCCCCGACATCTAACCCCTGACCTCTAACCCCTGACCTCTGACCCCTGACCTCTACCCCTGACCTCTACCCCCTGACTCTACCCCTGACACTCTACCCCCTGACCTCTACCCCGCTTGACCTCTACCCCCCTGACCTCTAACCCCTGACCTCTACCCCCTGACCTCTACCGACTCTACCCCCCTTACCCCGACCTCTAACCCCTGACCTCTAACCCCTGACCTCTAACCCCTGACCTCTAACCCCTGTGACCTCTAACCCCTGACCTCTACCCCCTGACCTCTAACCCTGACCTCTACCCCCTGACCTCTACCCCCTGACCTCTAACCCCTGACCTCTAACCCCTGACCTCTAACCCCTGACCTCTAACCCCTGACCTCTAACCCCTGACCTCTACCCCCTGACCTCTACCCCCTGACCTCTACCCCCTGACCTCTACCCCTGACCTCTACCCCCTGACCTCTAACCCCTGACCTCTAACCCCTGACCTCTACCCCCTGACTTACGATAAGGTCTGTAACGTCTAACCCCTGACTTCTAGCTACGAGCCATCTGTGCTGACAGACACACCCTGACCCTTAGTTTGGTGATGGAGGCTGAATGAAGAACAGAAATCATCTGTAACCAGTGTTGACTAAATATGACTGAATACTGTTGTCTGTCTGTCACCACTACAGCTGATAGCGGAAGAGGGGGTGGACTCTCTGAGTGTGAATGAGCTCCAGGCAGCCTGTCGAGTCCGAGGGATGAGAGCTCTGGGAGTCACAGAGGAGAGACTGAGAGAACAGCTCCAGCAGGTAATAAATTACATTATTATATATCTGTTAACATATCAGTGTCCTAATGGAGGAGAGACAGTAAACGTACTAACCCTCGGTCCTAAAAACTGTTTTAAGAGACATCTTTACTAATGTGGTGAGATGATCTCTTGGTAAGTGTGTTGTATTGAGTTGGTAAGTAGTAAAGTATTTGTTGTTCTTCTCCAGTGGTTGGAGCTGCACCTGAACCAGCACATCCCCACCTCCCTCCTCCTCCTCTCCAGGGCCATGTTCCTCCCTGATACTCTCTCCCCTGCAGACCAGCTCAAGACCACCCTGCAGAATCTGCCTGACATAGTGGTACGTATGATTTATACTTCCACCTGTGAAAATAGTGGTACAACGATTATTTTATAGGGTTGTTATACTCACAGATATCCTAACATGGGATCAAAACGTGTAGCGCTCTTCATTTCTAGAGAGAAAAAAAAAAAAGTTTTAATGTTGCCCACACAGCCTTCTGTTGTCACCCGGAGCATCATTAGTTTTCTTCACATATGTTCTCTGGCTCTGTCTCCAGGCCAGGGTTAGGGTTAGAGCTCTGTCTCCAGGGTTAGGGTTAGAGCTCTGTCTCCAGGCCAGGGTTAGGGTTAGGGTTAGAGCTCAGGGTTAGGGTTAGGGTTAGAGCTCTGTCTCCAGGCCAAGGTTAGGGTTAGAGCTCTGTCTCCAGGCCAGGGTTAGGGTTAGGGTTAGGGTTAGAGCTCTGTCTCCAGGCCAGGGTTAGGGTTAGGGTTAGAGCTCTGTCTCCAGGCCAAGGAGGCCCAGGGTTAGGGTTAGAGTTCAGGGTTAGGGTTTAGAGCTCTGTCTCCAGGCCAAGGAGGCCCAGGGTTAGGGTTAGAGCTCAGGGTTAGGGTTAGAGTTCAGGGTTAGGGTTAGAGCTCTGTCTCCAGGCCAAGGAGGCCCAGGGTTAGGGTTAGAGCTCTGGGTTAGGGTTAGAGCTCTGTCTCCAGGCCAAGGAGCCCCAGGGTTAGGGTTAGAGCTCTGTCTCCAGGCCAAGGAGGCCCAGGGTTAGGGTTAGAGCTCTGTCTCCAGGCCAAGGAGGCCCAGGGTTAGGGTTAGAGCTCAGGGTTAGGGTTAGGGTTAGAGCTCAGGGTTAGAGCTCAGGGTTAGGGTTAGAGCTCTGGGTTAGGGTTAGAGCTCTGTCTCCAGGCCAAGGAGGCCCAGGGTTAGGGTTAGAGCTCTGTCTCCAGGCCAAGGAGGCCCAGGGTTAGGGTTAGAGTTCAGGGTTAGGGTTAGAGCTCAGGGTTAGGGTTAGAGCTCAGGGTTAGGGTTAGAGCTCTGTCTCCAGGCCAAGGAGGCCCAGGGTTAGGGTTTAGAGCTCAGGTTTAGGGTTAGAGCTCTGTCTCCAGGCCAAGGAGGCCCAGGGTTAGGGTTAGAGCTCAGGGTTAGGGTTAGAGCTCAGGGTTAGGGTTAGAGCTCTGTCTCCAGGCCAAGGAGGCCCAGGGTTAGGGTTAGAGCTCAGGGTTAGGGTTAGAGCTCTGTCTCCAGGCCAAGGAGGCCCAGGGTTAGGGTTAGAGCTCAGGGTTAGGGTTAGAGCTCAGGGTTAGGGTTAGAGCTCTGTCTCCAGGCCAAGGAGGCCCCCAGGGTTAGGGTTAGAGCTCAGGGTTAGGGTTAGAGTTCAGGGTTAGGGTTAGAGCTCAGGGTTAGGGTTAGAGCTCAGGGTTAGGGTTAGAGTTCAGGGTTAGGGTTAGAGTTCAGGGTAAGGGTTAGAGTTCAGGGTTAGGGTTAGAGCTCTGTCTCCAGGCCAAGGAGGCCCAGGGTTAGGGTTAGAGTTCAGGGTTAGGGTTAGAGCTCTGTCTCCAGGCCAAGGAGGCCCAGGGTTAGGGTTAGAGCTCAGGGTTAGGGTTAGAGTTCAGGGTTAGGGTTAGGGTTAGAGCTCAGGGTTAGGGTATGACTTGGTGGTGTATCTTGGTCCCTCCAGGCTAAGGAGGCCCAGGTGAAGGGGAAAGGTTAGAGGTCAGGTGTTATCCTGTATAACGTGATGTACGTCCCTCCAGGCTAAGGAGGCCCAGGTGAAGGGGAAAGGTTAGAGGTCAGGTGTTATCCTGTATAACGTGATGTACGTCCCTCCAGGCTAAGGAGGCCCAGGTTAAAGTGGCTGAGATGGAGCTGTCCCAGGTTGACAACAAGACCAAGCTGGAAGCCACGCTGCAGGAGGAGGCAGCGATACGTCAGGATAACAAGGATAGAGCGATGGAGAGGCTGGCGGATGCAGCAGAGAGGACAGAACAATCCCTCACGGGTGGGGACATGGCTCAATACTCAGAGACACTACAAGACACAGCTTCAGTCCTAGAGGGCATCAAGGTAACACACATCTCTGTCCTAGAGGGCATCAAGGTAACACACATCTCTGTCCTAGAGGGCATCAAGGTAACACACATCTCTGTCCCAGAGGGCATCAAGGTAACACACATCTCTGTCCCAGAGGGCATCAAGGTAACACACATCTCTGTCCTAGAGGGCATCAAGGTAACACACATCTCTGTCCCAGAGGGCATCAAGGTAACACGCATCTCTGTCCCAGAGGGCATCAAGGTAACACACATCTCTGTCCCAGAGGGCATCAAGGTAACACACATCTCTGTCCCAGAGGGCATCAAGGTAACACACATCTCTGTCCTAGAGGGCATCAAGGTAACACACATCTCTGTCCCAGAGGGCATCAAGGTAACACACATCTCTGTCCCAGAGGGCATCAAGGTAACACACATCTCTGTCCCAGAGGGCATCAAGGTAACACACATCTCTGTCCCAGAGGGCATCAAGGTAACACACATCTCTGTCCCAGAGGGCATCAAGGTAACACACATTCTCTGTCCCAGAGGGCATCAAGGGAACACACATCTCTGTCCTAGAGGGCATCAAGGTTAACACACATCTCTGTCCAGAGGGCATCAAGGTAACACGCATCTCTGTCCCAGAGGGCATCAAGGTAACACGCATCTCTGTCCCAGAGGGCATCAAGGGTAACACACATCTCTGTCCCAGAGGGCATCAAGGTAACACACATCTCTGTCCTAGAGGGGCATTCAAGGTAACACACATCTCTGTCCAGAGGGCATCAAGGTAACACACATCTCTGTCCCAGAGGGCATCAATGGTTAACACACATCTCTGTCCCAGAGGGCATCAAGGTAACACACATCTCTGTCCCAGAGGGCATCAAGGTAACACACATCTCTGTCCCAGAGGGCATCAAGTGTAACCCACATATCTGTCCAAGAGGGCATCAAGGTAACACCATCTCTGTCCAGAGGGCATCAAGGTAACACAACTCTGTCCCAGAGGGCATCAAGGTAACACACATCTCTGTCCCAGAGGGCATCAAGTAACAACATCTCTGTCCACAGAGGGCATCAAGGTAACACACATCTCTGTCCAGAGGGCATCAAGGGTAACACACATATCTGTCCCAGAGGGCATCAAGGTAACACACATCTCTGTCCCAGAGGTCATCAAGGTAACACACATCTCTGTCCCAGAGGGCATTGTGGTCCTCTGTAGCTCAGCTGGTAGAGCACGGCGCTTGTAACGCCAAGGTAGTGGGTTCGATCCCCGGGACCACCCATACACAAAAAAAAAATGTATGCACGCATGACTGTAAGTCGCTTTGGATAAAAGCGTCTGCTAAATGGCATATTATTTATTATTATTTAATTATTAACACACATCTCTGTCCCAGAGGGCATCAAGGTAACACGCATCTCTGTCCCAGAGGGCATCAAGTAAACTCAACATGTAAAGTGTTGGTCCCATGTTTCATGAGCTGAAATTAAAGATCCCAGAAATGTTCTATATGCACAAAAAGCTTATTTCTCTCCAATTCCTGTTAGTGAGCATTTCTCCTTTGCCAAGATAATCCATCCACCTGACAGGGGTGGATTAAACAGCATGATCATTACACAGGTGCACCTTGTGCTGGGAACAATAAAAGGCCACTCTAAAATGTACGGTTTTGTCACACAACACAATGCTACAGATGTCTCACGTGAGGGAGTGTGAAGTTGGCATGCTGACTGCAGGAATGTCCACCAGAGCTGTTGCCAGAAAATGTAATGAAAATGTCTCTACCATAAGCTGCCTCCAACGTCGTTTTAGAGAATTTGTCAGTACGTCCAACCGGCCTCACAACCGCAGACCACGTGTAACCACGCCAGCCCAGGACCTCCCCAGACCACGTGTATGGCGTCGTGTGTGCAGAGCGGTTTGATGATGTCAACGTTGTGAACAGAGTGCCCCATGGTGGTGGGTGGGGTTATGGTATGGGCCGGCATAAACTACGGACAACGAACACAATTTGCATTTTATTGATGGCAATTTGAACGCACAAGGATACTGTTTTGAGATTTTGAGGTCCATAGTCGTGCCATTCATCTGCTGCCATCACCTCATGTTTCAGCATCATAATGCACGGCCCCATGTCGCAAGGATCTGGACACAATTCCTGGAAGCTGAAAATGTCCCAGTTCTTCCATGGCCTGAATACTCACCAGATGTCACGCTTGGGATGCTCTGGATCGACGTGTACGACAGCGTGTTCCAGTTCCTACCAATATCCAGCAACTTCTCACAGCCATTGAATAGTAGTGGGACAACATTCCACAGGTCACAATCAACAGCCTGATCAACTATGCGAAGGAGAGGTGTCGTGCTGCATGAGGCAAATGGTGGTCACACCAGATACTGACGGGTTTTCTGATCCACGCCCCTACCTTTTTTTAAGGTATATGTGACCAAAAGATGCAGATCTGTATTCCCAATCATGTGAAATACATAGATTTGGGCCTAATGAATTTATTTCATTCGACTGATTTCCTTATATGACTGTAACTCAGTAACACCTTTGAAATTGTTGCATGTTGCGTTTATATTTTTGTTCAGTGTACAAATCTTATAGATTGTTTGCAGATAGTCAGATAATGTGATCATCATACATTATCTGAGCTACATTATCTGATCAAGGTCTGTGGACTCATCTGTCTGTTCCATACCCAATGTTTCCAATATTGTCTGACTGTCTGTTCCATACCCAATGTTTCCAATATTGTCTGACTGTCTGTTCCATACCCAATGTTTCCAATATTGTCTGACTGTCTGTTCCATACCCAATGTTTCCAATATGTCCTCGCTGCTGTTCCATACCCAATGTTCCAATATGTCTGACTGCCTGTTCAACCAATGTTTCCAATATTGTCCGACCGTTGTCCAACAGTTTCCATATTGTCCGACTGTCTGTCCATACCAATGTTCCAAATTGTCTGACGTCTGTCCTACCCAATGTTTCACCAATATGCGTGTAGCGTTCCATACCCAAGTTCCAATATTGTCGACCTTTCATAGCAATGTTTCCAATATGTCGACGTCTGTCCATACCAATGTTGCCAATATTGTGCTGCGGTTCCATACCCAAGTTCCAATATGCTGACTGTCTGTTCCATACCCAAACTTTGCATTGTTTACTATGTTGCATACCTGTTGCTCATCCACTCTCCATGGTGATCATGCTATTCATTGACTACAGCTCAGCCTTCAACACCATAGTACCCTCCAAGCTCATCACTTAGTTCAGGTCCCTGGGTCTGAACCCCGCCCTGTGCAACTGGGTCCTGGACTTCCTGACGGGCCGCCCCCAGGTGGTGAAGGTAAGAAACAACATCTCCACTTCGCTGATCCTCAACACTGGGGCCCCACAAGGGTGCGTGCTCAGCCCCCTCCTGTACTCCCTGTTCACCCATGACTGCGTGTCCAAGCACGCCTCCAACTCAATAATCAAGTTTGCAGACGACACAACAGTAGTAGGCTTGATTACCAACAATGACGAGACCGCCTACAGGGAGGAGGTGAGGGCTCTGGGAGTGTGGTGCCAGGAAAATAACCTCTCACTCAAGATCAACAAAACAAAGGAGATGATCGTGGACTTCAGGAGACAGCAGAGGGTGCACCCCCCTATCCACATCGACGGGACCGCAGTGGAGAAGGTGGAAAGCTTCAAGTTCCTCGGCGTACACATCACTGACAAACTGAAATGGTCAAGGCATCACAGGGGGCACACTGCCTGCCCTCCAGGACACCTACAGCACCCGACGTCACAGGAAGGCCAAAAAGATTATCAAGGACATCAATCACCTGAGCCACAGCCTGTTCACCCCGCTATCATCCAGAAGGCGAGGTCAGTACAGGTGCATCAAGCAGGGACCGAGAGCCTGAAAAACAGCTTCTATCTCAAGGCCACCAGACTGTTAAATAGCCATCACTAGCCGGCCTCCACCCAGTACCCTGCCCTGAACTTAGTCACTGTCACTAGCCGGCTACCACCCGGTTACTCAACCCTGCACCTTAGAGGCTGCTGCCCTATATACATAGACATGGAACACTGGTCACTTTAATAATGGAACACTGGTCACTTTAATAAAGGATCACTGGTCACTTTAATAAAGGAACACTGGTAACTTTAATAAAGGAACACTGGTCACTTTAATAAAGGATCACTGGTCACTTTAATAAAGGATCACTGGTCACTTTAATAAAGGATCACTGGTCACTGTAATAATGTTTCCATCCTGTTTTACCCATCTCATATGTATATACTGTATTGCAGTCCAGTCCATCCTATTTAACTATTGCTGTATCTATTCTATTCTATCCTACGTATTCTTCAGATATACTAAATATTCTATCCACATACTGTCCATAATGTCTCTACAGCCCATCACATATCCAGAGCCTTCAAAAAGTTTTCATACCCCTTGACTTATTCCACATTTTGTTATGTTTCGGCCTGAATTCAAAATTGATGAAATATTTTTTTTCTCACCCATCTAATCTACACACAATAATACCCCATAATGACAATGTGAAAACAAACATGTTTTTAGAAATGTTGGCAAATTTATAGAAAATTACAGAAATCTAATTTACATAAGTATTCACACCCCTGAGTCAATACTTTGTAGAAGCGCCTTTGTCAGTGATTACAGCTGGGAGTCTTTCTGGGTAAGTCTCTAAGAGATTTCCACACCTGGACTGTGCAACATTTGCCCATTATTCTTTTCAAAATTCTTCAAAATCTGACAAATTGGTTGTTGATCATTGCTAGATTTAAGTCAAAACTGTCACTCAGGATCATTCACTGTCGTCTTGGTAACCAACTCCAGTATAGATTTGACCTTGTGTTTTAGGTTATTGTCCAGCTGAAAGGTGAATTCATCTCGCATTGTCTGGTGGAAAGCAGACTGAACCAGGGTTTCCTCTAGTCTCCCAGTCAGCAGACTGAACCAGGGTTTCCTCTAGTCTCCCAGTGTCTGGTGGACAGCAGACTGGACCAGGGTTTCCTCTAGTTTCCCAGTGTCTGGTGAACAGCAGACTGAACCAGGGTTTCCTCTAGTCTCCCAGTGTCTGGTGGAAAGCAGACTGGACCAGGGTTTCCTCTAGTCTCCCAGTGTCTGGTGGACAGCAGACTGGACCAGGGTTTCCTCTAGTCTCCCAGTGTCTGGTGGACAGCAGACTGGACCAGGGTTTCCTCTAGTCTCCCAGTGTCTGGTGGAAAGCAGACTGAACCAGGGTTTCCTCTAGTCTCCCAGTGTCTGGTGGACAGCAGACTGGACCAGGGTTTCCTCTAGTCTCCCAGTGTCTGTGGACAGCAGACTGAACCAGGGTTTCCTCTAGTCTCCCAGTGTCTGGTGGAAGCAGACTGAACCAGGGTTTCCTCTAGTCTCCCAGTGTCTGTGGAAAGCAGACTGAACCAGGTTTTCCTCTAGTCTCCCAGTGTCTGGTGGACAGCAGACTGGAACCAGGGTTTCCTCTAGTCTCCCAGTGTCTGGTGGAAAGCAGACTGAACCAGGGTTTTCCCTCTAGTCTCCCAGTGTCTGGTGGACAGCAGACTGAACCAGGGTTTCTCTAGTCTCCCAGTGTCTGGTGGACAAGCAGACTGAACCAGGGTTTCCTCTAGTCTCCCAGTGTCTGGTGGACAGCAGACTGAACCAGGGTTTCCTCTAGTCTCCCAGTGTCTGGTGGACAGCAGACCGAACCAGGGTTTCCTCTAGTCTCCCAGTGTCTGGTGGACAGCAGACTGGAACCATGGTTTCCTCTAGTCTCCCAGTGTCTGTTGGAAAGCAGACTGAACCAGGTTTTCCTCTAGTCTCCCAGTGTCGGTGGAAAGCAGACCGAACCAGGGTTTCCTCTAGTCTCCCAGTGTCTGGTGGACAGCAGACTGGACCAGGGTTTCCTCTAGTCTCCCAGTGTCTGTTGGAAAGCAGACTGAACCAGGGTTTCCTCTAGTCTCCCAGTGTCTGGGGACAGCAGACTGGAACCAGGTTTTTCCTCTGGTCTCCCAGTGTCTGGTGGAAAGCAGACTGAACCAGGGTTTCTCTAGTCTCCCAGTGTCTGGGGGAAAGCAGGACTGGACCAGGGTTTCCTCTAGTCTCCCAAGTGTCTGGGGGAAAGCAGATTGAACCAGGTTTTCCTCTAGTCTCCCAGTGTCTGGGGGGACAGCAGACTGAACCAGGGTTTCCATCTAGTCTCCCAGTGTCTGGGTGGCAGGCACAGACTGAACCAGGGTTTCATCTAGTCTCCCAGTGTCTGGTGAGAAGAACAGCAGACTGAACCAGGGTTTCCTCTAGTCTACCCAGTGTCTGGTGGACACGCAGACTGAACCCAGGGTTTCCTCTAGTCTCCCAGTGTTCTGGTGTGACAGGCAGGACTGGAAACCAGGGTTTCCTCTAGTAGTCTCCCAGTTGTCTGGGTGGACAGCAAAACGGAACCAGGGTTTCCTCTAGTCTCCCAGTGGTCTGGTGGACAGGCCTGACTGAACCAGGTTTTCCTCTAGTCTCCCAGTGTCTGGTGGACAGCAGACTGAACCAGGGTTTCCTCTAGTCTCCCAGTGTCTGGTAGACAGCAGACTGAACCAGGGTTTCCTCTAGTCTCCCAGTGTCTGGTGGACAGCAGACTGAACCAGGTTTTCCTCTAGGATTTTGCCTGTGCTCAGCTCCATCCCATTTATTCTTTAACATGATGCAGTCACCACTATGCTTGAAAATATGGAGAGTGGTATTCAGTAATGTGTTGTATTGGATTTGCCCTAAACATAACACTTTTAATTCAGGACAAAAAGTGAATTGCTTTGGCAAATGTTTTGCAGTATCACTTTAGTGCCTTGTTGCAAACAGGATGCTTGATTTGGAATATTTAAATTATGTACAGGCTTCCTTCTTTTCACTCTGTCATTTAGGTTAGTATTGTGGAGTAACTACAATGTTGTTGATCCATCCTCAGTTTTCTCCCATCACAGCCATTCAACTCTGTAACTGTTTTAAAGTCACCATTGGCCTCATGGTGAAATTCCTTAGAGGTTTCCTTCCTCTCCGTCAACTGAGTTCGGAAGGATGCCTGTATCTTTGTAGTGGCTGGGTGTATTGATACACCATCCAAAGTGTTATTCATAACTTCACCATGCTCAAAGGGATATTCAATGTCTGCTTTTTTGTGATACAGCCTGGAATCGAACCAGGGGGTCTGTGCAATAATAGTGTTGAACATGAATTTTGAATGACTACCTCATTTCTGTACCCGACACATACAATTGTCTGTAAGATCCCTCAGGCTCCCGAGTGGCGCAGCGGTTTAAGGCACTACATCTCAGTGCTTGAGGCGTCACTACAGACCGAGTGGAGCAGCGGTCTAAGGCACTGCATTTCAGTGCTTGAGGCGTCACACAGCTGTATATTAATCTAGTATATATTGTCCTGTACCCAGCTGTATATTAATCTAGTATATATTGTCCTGTACCCAGCTGTATATTAATCTAGTATATATTGTCCTGTACCCAGCTGTATATTAATCTAGTATATATTGTCCTGTACCCAGCTGTATATTAATCTAGTTATATTGTCCTCTACCCAGCTGTATATTAATCTAGTATATATTGTCCTGTACCCAGCTGTATATTAATCTAGTATATATTGTCCTGTACCCAGCTGTATATTAATCTAGTATATATTGTCCTGTACCCAGCTGTATATTAATCTAGTATATATTGTCCTGTACCCAGCTGTATATTAATCTAGTATATATTGTCCTGTACCCAGCGTATATTAATCTAGTATATTGTCCTGTACCCAGCTGTATATTAATCTAGTATATATTGTCCTGTACCCAGCTGTATTAATAGTAATATGTCCTGTACCCAGCTGTATATTAATCTAGTAATATTGTCCCCTACAGGGAGAGGAGATCACTAAGGAGGAAATAGACATGTTGAGTGATGCATGTACCAAGCTAAAGGAACAGAAGATGTTCCCTCACTGTGGAGTGGAGTTTGAGGACCTAAGTGGAGGGGAACTGACCTCCACGAGGTGGGTGGTGTTATACCCCTATTCACTGTGGTGTGGTTGTTTGCCCCCATCACCTGTGGGGGGTGGTTATACGACCCATACTGACGGGGGTTTATGACCCCCTTTCCTACTGGTGGGGTTGTTACCACCTCCAAATGGGGGGGGGGGTTTGTACTGACTCCTTTCAACTGTGGGGGGTTTTGTGACTGCTCACTTCACTGTGGGGGTGGTTTGTGACTGTCCATCACTCTGATGGGGGGTTTGTACTGATGTCATCACACTGACGGTGGGTTTTATGACCTCCACTGACTGTGGTGTGGTTTGATTCATCACTATGAGGTGTGGTGTTATGCATCCTAATGACGGGGGTGTGGTTTATACACCCACTGCGGGTGTGTGTGTTCATAACTGTTCTCCATTCACGGGTGTGGGTTATCTACGCCCAAAGGGCATGTGAGTAGGTAAGCCTCTTCAGTGGTGGTTTTAACGGTCACCAGTTCACGGTATGAGATTCATACTGAGCTACATGCAAGGGGGTTTGGTGTTATACGACCTCCACTTCCTGTGGTGTGTTTATACTACTCCAGTACACTGGGTGGTTTTTTAAATGACCCGACTGACTGGGTGTGGACGTCATACGACCTCATACTATGGTTATGGTTTTACCAATGAGCTAAACTATACTGTGTGTGTTTGAAATATTGACCCCCTATTCACATGCTGTGTTCGCCTCCTAAACACTGTCGTAGTTAATACACATATTCACCTGGCTGGTTTGAAATTGAATCCTTTTCACATATTTGATAATACGATCCATCACTGTGGTTGGACAATATTCTCGTGCAGTGTTGTTGACATGACCTCATTCATGTGGTGTGTGTGGTTATACCGACCATCCATTTTCCACTGTGGTGTGGTTTATACTGACCTCCATTCACTGTGGTGTGGTTTATACTGACCTCCATTCACTGTGGTGTGGTTTATACTGACCTCCATTCACTGTGGTGTGGTTTATACTGACCTCCATTCACTGTGGTGTGGTTTATACTGACCTCCATTCACGGTGGTGTGGTTTATACTGACCTCCATTCACTGTGGTGTGGTTTATACTGACCTCCATTCACTGTGGTGTGGTTTATACCAGATTATATTAGAGAGCTCTTCTGTGACAGCCCTTAATAACACTGGCCATGCTATCTCCATTTTAAACATAGTCTAATTCCTTTCAGGAGCAGCAATTGAGATGAGGTCTTTCGTACAACTCTATTCTCCATATTGGCCTACAAAATAATTATTTATTTGGAATGGAAAACATACATCATCAGTATTCTGTTGTCATGTAGAGTTCCTGAGAAGCCAGTCTGAGTCTCCTTATTTCCATGGTGGTGGCAGAGGAGAGGCTGACAGACTAACAGTAGTTTTACCCTTCTGACAACGAGGCTTTCCCAGAACAAACCAACAAAACAACAACCAATCTTGATAATAGATCCTTACACATTTAAATGATTCTTATTATTTCGATTATTCTTTAAGAAATATGGAGACGCTAAAAGTTAAGCTAAATGTTGGTAAAAGCTCCTACCTCATCTATCTACTGCTTACCAGACGTTAAAAATGCGTTGGAGTTTCAACCATTTCATCCATCAAACTACGCTAGAAAGGCTTAATTTGCAATGACACTTTTTTTTTAGTTCTGGTAAAATATGTCTTTAGTTTTGAACAGTTTGGGCTACAGAGGAGTGGATTTCTGTATTGTGAAGGTGCGACCATGGTTTCTAGGGCAGAGGCTGTGGTATAGTTAAGCCCAGAGCCATATATTAAGCCACTGTGTGTTTCTAGGGCAGAGGCTGTGGTATAGTTAAGCCCAGAGCCATATATTAAGCCACTGTGTGTTTCTAGGGGCAGAGGCTGTGGTATAGTTAAGCCCAGAGCCATATATTAAGCCACTGTGTGTTTCTAGGGCAGAGGCTGTGGTATAGTTAAGCCCAGAGCCATATATTAAGCCACTGTGTGTTTCTAGGGCAGAGGCTGTGGTATAGTTAAGCCCAGAGCCATATATTAAGCCACTGTGTGTTTCTAGGCAGAGGCTGTGGTATAGTTTAAGCCCAGAGCCATATATTAAGCCACTGTGTGTTTCTAGGGCAGAGGGCTGTGGTATAGTTTTAAACCCGAGCCATATATTAAGCCAATGTGTGTTTCTAGGGCAGAGGCTGTGGTATAGTTAAACCCAGAGCCATATATTAAGCCACTGTGTGTTTCTAGGGCAGAGGCTGTGGTATAGTTAAACCAGGAGCCATATATTAAGCCACTGTGTGTTCTAGGGCAGAGGCTGTGGTATTTATAGCTGTATAAACCCAGAGCCATATATAAGCCATGGTGTGTTTCTTCAAGGCAAGAGGCTGTGGTAATGTTAAGCCCCAGAGCCATATATTCAAGCCACTCTGTGTGTTTCTAGGGCAGAGGCTGTGGTATACAGTTTAAAAAACCCATGAGCCATATATTAAAGCCACTGTGTGTTTCTAGGGCAGAGGCTGTGGGTATAGTTAACCCCAGAGCCATTTATTAAGCCACTGTGTGTTTCTAGGGCAGAGGGTGTGGTATAGTTAACCAGAGCCATATATTAAGCCACTGTGTGTTTCTAGGGCAGAGGCTGTGGTATAGTTAAGCCCAGAGCCATATATTAAGCCACTGTGTGTTTCTAGGGCAGAGGCTGTGGTATAGTTAAACCCAGAGCCATATATTAAGCCACTGTGTGTTTCTAGGGCAGAGGCTGTGGTATAGTTAACCCAGAGCCATATATTAAGCCACTGTGTGTTTCTAGGGCAGAGGCTGTGGTATAGTAAGCCCAGAGCCATATATTTAAACCACTGTGTGTTTCTAGGCAGAGGCTGTGGTATAGTTAAACCCAGAGCCATATATTAAGCCACTGTGTGTTTCTAGGGCAGAGGCTGTGGTATAGTTAAGCCCAGAGCCATATATTAAGCCACTGTGTGTTTCTAGGGCAGAGGCTGTGGTATAGTTAAGCCCAGAGCCATATATTAAGCCACTGTGTGTTTCTAGGGCAGAGGCTGTGGTATAGTTAAGCCCAGAGCCATATATTAAGCCACGTTGTGGTTTCTAGGGCAGAGGCTGTGGTATAGTTAAGCCCAGAGCCATATATTAAGCCACGTGTGTTTCTAGGGCAGAGGGCTTGTGGTATAGTTAAGCCCAGAGCCATATATTAAGCCACTGTGTGTTTCTAGGGCAGAGGCTGTGGTATAGTTAAGCCCCAGAGCCATATATTAAGCCACTGTGTGTTTTAGGGCAGAGGCTGTGGTATAGTTAAGCCCAGAGCCATATATAAGCCACTGTGTGTTTCTAGGGCAGAGGCTGTGGTATAGTTAAGCCCAGAGCCATATATTAAGCCACTGTGTGTTTCTAGGGCAGAGCTGTGGTATAGTTAAGCCCCAGAGCCATATATTAAGCCACTGTGTGTTTCTAGGGCAGAGGCTGGGTATAGTTAAAGCCCAGAGCCATATATTAAGCCACTGGGTGTTTCTAGGGCAGAGGCTGTGGTATAGTTAAGCCCAGAGCATATATTAAGCCACTGTGTGTTTACTGGGCAGAGGCTGTGGTATAGTTAAGCCAGAGCCATATATTAAGCCACTGTGTGTTCTAGGGCAGAGGCTGTGGTATAGTTAAGCCCAGAGCCATATATTAAGCCACTGTGTGTTTCTAGGGCAGAGGCTGTGGTATAGTTTAAACCAGAGCCATATATTAAGCCACTGTGTGTTTCTAGGGCAGAGGCTGTGGTATAGTTAAGACCCAGAGCCATATATTAAGCCACTGTGTGTTTCTAGGGCAGAGGCTGTGGTAAGTTAACCCCGAGCATATATTAAGCCACTGTGTGTTTCTAGGGCGAGGCTGTGGTATAGTTAAACCCAGAGCCATATATTAAGCCACTGTGTGTTTCTAGGGCAGAGGCTGTGGTATAGTTAAGCCCAGAGCCATATATTAAGCCACTGTGTGTTTCTAGGGCAGAGGCTGTGGTATAGTTAAGCCAGAGCCATATATTAAGCCACTGTGTGTTTCTAGGGCATGGTGCTGTGGTAAGTAACCCAGAGCCATATATTAAGACCCATGTGTTTTCTAGGGCAGAGGCTGTGGTATAGTTAAAGCCACAGAGCCATATATTAAGCCACTGTGTGTTTCTAGGGCAGAGGCTGGGTATAGTTAAGCCCAGAGCCATATATTAAGCCACTGTGTGTTTCTAGGGCAGAGGCTGCGGTATAGTTAAGCCCAGAGCCATATATTAAGCCACTGTGTGTTTCTAGGGCAGAGGCTGTGGTATAGTTAAGCCAGAGCATATATTAAGCCACTGTGTGTTTCTAGGGCAGAGGCTGTGGTATAGTTAAACCCAGAGCCATATATTAAGCCACTGTGTGTTTTTCTAGGGCAGAGGCTGTGGTATAGTTAAACCCAGAGCCATATATTAAGCCACTGTGTGTTTCTAGGGCAGAGGCTGTGGTATAGTTAAAACCCAGAGCCATATATTAAGCCACTGTGTGTTTCTAGGGCCATGAGGCTGTGGTGGATAGTTAAACCCAGAGCCATATATTAAGCCACTGTGTGTTTCTAGGGCAGAGGCTGTGGTATAGTTAAACCCAGAGCCATATATTAAGCCACTGTGGTTTCTAGGGCAGAGGCTGTGGTATAGTTAAGCCCAGAGCATATATTAAGCCACTGTGTGTTTCTAGGGCAGAGGCTGTGGTATAGTTAAACCCAGGCCATATAATTAAGCCCACTGTGTATGTTTCTAGGGCAGAGGCTGTGGGTATAGTTCCGCACCAGAGCCCTATCATTAAGACCACTGTGTGTTTCATAGGGCAGAGGCTGTGGTATATGTTAAACCCAGAGCCAATATCTTAAGCACCACTGTGTGTTTCTCAGGGCAGAGGCTGTGGGTATAGCTTTCAACCCCGCGCCCCTATCGTTAAGCCCCACTGGTGTGTTCAAGGGCAGCGGCTGTGGTCTAGTTCACACCCAAGGAGCCATATATTAAGCCCACTGTGTGTTTCTCGGGCCGAGGCTGTGGGTATAGTTAAGCCCACAGGACGCCATATATTAAGCCACTGT